ATGAGGATGTCGTTGAAGCCGTCGGCCTTGGACCTGCCGAAGACGGGTATGAGTTCCTGGATCGGGTCGATCTTCGGGGCGGAGAGATGGAAGCTGTGTAGGCGGGTGATGTCCTGCTGGTCGCAGAGGGCCTTGGACTCGGCCCAGCTGAAGATGAACTGGTCCTCGGAGTGGAACTTGACGCAGTCGGAGCAGAAGTCGCGGATGTTCCAGTGGAGGCCTGAGCGGCCGGGGCTGTCGGCGGGACAGACTGAGGCCTCTAGTTCGCGGAAGGCTTTGGTGGAGGCGTATGCCATTGCATTTGATTGCGGTGCGGCGGGCGGCAGCCCCAGTTGGGATTCTGCGGGTTGGTTTTGGGCGGGTGGTTGGATCTCCCGCTTCGACTCCTCCTGCTTGGGAGGTTCTTCTTGTTTCTGGCCCTCGGGCGCAGCATCTGGCTTCGGAGGCTCGGGGGGTGACCCTCCAGCAGACTCCTCGGATCGTGAGGATAGCAACTTGAACTTCTTCGACGAGTTCCTGCCAGCCTTCGTGTACCTAATCAAATCTGTCCACGGAGTCAGGACTCTCGGCTGATCAGCCAGGTTAATCGGTATTTTCATATCCGACAGATGCTCTACGAATCCGTGAATCATGTCAATCATCGCGTCGAGCATCTTCTTGTTCTCGTCGTCCCACATGTAGTTATGGATTGCTTTCTTGTCCTGGATCGTGACCACGGCCATCCGCGGCTCCTTCGGGATCCTCTCGTCGTACGCCTTGCGGATCGTCTCGGGCTTCATGCCCCAGAACGGAAGGATGTCGCTCTCCATCTGCTCAAAGTGATCGATGATGACGGACTTGCGTTCCTTGGCAAACTCGTACCACTTATCGAAGTTGGGCGGCGGGAGACGCCCGTAGTGTCTCTCCTGGTAGACTTCGGCGGCGATGCGGAGGCTGTCACTGGTCGAGGCTTGGCGCAGCCATCTGTCGCCGTTGACTCTGGCGTTGTAGATTTCCCTCTCGAGGGGGTGGCCCTTGACTGTGTCCGACTTGAGGGCGCCATACAGGGTCATGCCCAAGAGGAAGAACGGCAGCACGACAACGATGACGACCCTCCGAGCAAAGAGGACGGACCTAATGTTGGCGGTGTACAAGAGGGAGCCGAAGCCCGTGGCGATGAAGTACAGCGGGAGGATGGCGGCGAACTTGGAGTGAATCTGCCATTGGCCGATGCGCGTGACGCTTTGGTAGGCTGCTGACATTCCTGATATGAAAGTGATGACGCTGGCCGGGACGGAAGGACTGGTCTCGCACACGAGGATGGCGAGCGAGCCGATCAACGCGGTGAAGGTGAAGCTGTCGATGAAAATGTCGAAGAAGTACAGCGAGTCGAGACCCCTGATGGACGTGGGGTATCCCTCATCGGTGGAGATGAAAGGAGATGCGAGAATCTGGAAGACTTTGATGAAAACACCAGTCAGGGCCTGGATCACGCCGAGGGTTCTCAGCCTTAGCTTCGTCGTCCTTGTCCACGAGAGGATCCGGTGGAGGATGATGGCGATGGCGGCGTCCAAGAACAGCCCCAGCAGTTGGAGGGCAAGTGTGAGGACCCGGCTATCCAGGAGAGTCGAGCAGAAGAACGTCGAGGGAGGTTCCTGGTCGACGGCGAGGAATGTTCCGTAGCCGAGAATCAGAGCGCTCAGAAGCATGGTGACATGAGCACCATTGAGCCATCTCTTGACGTCTTCCCAGGCACTGTCCCATGGCTCGAGAGGGCGCTCTGGAGGTGGAAGCGGTCTTCGGCAGTAGTAGATGTCGTAAAACACCAACAGCGTGCACAGAAGAGACTGTTACACGGTCAGTTTTGTCCTTCGACACAAATTTGGTCAACGTACTTGGACTCCCGGCGTGGAGCACTGCAACTGCGCCGTAACCTGATGAAAAACCTCCAACCTCAGAAAGACCATGAAGACCAACAACGGCACATAGTACCGCCTTGGTCTGGCGGGGACAGAGGCCTCAAACGTGCCCTTCAGCGCACTCTCATCTGCTCAAAGGTCAGTCTCATCCTCACCCTCTTTTCAAGACTCCCCTTTCTCAAACTCACCAAACCTGCCATCAGCACCCGGCAGCCATTTCGCCAAGTAACTCGAGCCCCACGTCAAGCCGCCGGATATCAAAAAAATCAGAACGGAAGACAACCTCGGCCATTCTGCGAGCACACGTTAGCGTCCTGTGAAACTTTGTGGCGCGAAACACTTCTTACCAACTAGAGAATGTCTTTCAAAATTATACGACATCCATAGAAACGACACAACAGCACTAGCACCAGACGTTAGTTACTGATTCATTTTCCACACTAATACGCAGGACCAAAAATAAAAACTCCAACGTCGTTGCTCGGGCCCTTTTTGTAAATCGCTTACCATAGCGCCGTGAGATGCACATGCGCATCGCGTGCCATCACCGCGAAAAGGAGATGGTGGGAATAGGTTCAAGCCTCCACAGCAGCTGCCATCAAACGAGAAATGTCGAGTTGAAAACAAACAAACAAGTCAATGGGAAACAAGGTGAGCTTGCCGAGAAGCCCGAACACTCCGCCGGATTTTCATACAAAGACGAACTTTACGGATGGAACACGGAGCGAACACTGTCCAGAGCCAGGAACGGGCTGAGCTGGGCCGATCCAGGGGGTGGCCCGGGTCCCCAAGCGGGCAGGATCTGTAATTACATAAGCCCAATTCAACGGCACAGCACGCCCGAGGTGGAGGGATGTGAAGAAAACCCCTTTAAACGACGCGTGCCCACCCTGGCTCCGCCACCCCTGGACCGCGTCAAGCTTCCTTCCGTTCCCTTCTGCCTGGAGCATACGAGACAGCAGCTGGCGGACTGGGACGTTACGGTTTGGAATACCCACTTCCAAAGGACCGTCCTCCGTATTCCCCGTCCCTCCCGCGCCCGGCATCGACGGCGATCTTCGTGGGCTGACATCACAGCCTTCTTTTCCCACCACAAAGACTATTTCATTACTTTGGCCGCTGCTCAACACTCGAAATCCCCCCAATGGCACAGATATGTCCGGCCTCAATGACTCCCCCATAGTAAAACGTCTCGCCGTCCCGGCAGTATGCCTCCTCATCGCCTTCCTCGCCTACTCCTCCCAGATCCTCTTCTACGTCGCCGACGACTCCCTCCCGCCCGGCCGGCCGTCCAAGACCGAAACCTACATCTTCAACACGTTGCTGCTATGTCTGTGGTACACCTACTACAAGGCATGCACCGTCGACCCCGGCCGGTACACCTTTTCCTCCGACGACGTCATCGAGGTCCCAGAGCCAGATGAATACGGCCTCCTCCGCCGCTGGTGCAGAAAGTGCTCCGCGCCCAAACCACCGCGGGCGCACCACTGCCGCTCATGCCGCCGCTGCGTGCCCAGGATGGACCACCACGTGAGCCCTCTCTGCCAAATACTAGCCTAGCCATTCTAACATCATCCCTCGGCAGTGCCCCTGGACCTCGAACTGCGTCTCGATGCGAACCTTCCCGCACTTCCTCCGCTTCCTCCTCTACACCAACCTCTCCCTCTGGACCCTCGCCCGCCACCTCTACCTCCGCTTCGCCGACCTCTGGGCCCACCGTGCCCTGCCCTCCTACCTCGGCCCCTCCCTCCCCGTCCTCGTCCACCTCACCCTCCTCTCCCTCGTCACCTTCTTCACCTCCCTCGCCCTCTTCATCCTCTTCTTCTCCACCCTGCGCGGCTGGGTCCTCAACGAGACCATGATCGAGGGCTGGGAGCTCGACCGCCACACCGCACTCTGCGAGCGCACCTCCAAGAACGGCAGTGGCGACTTCTGGTCCGTCACCGGCCCCGACGGCAAGAAGCTCCGCCTCGAAAAGGTCGAGTTCCCCTACGACGTCGGCATCTTCGACAACCTCGCCCAGGCGATGGGCACGCGAAACGTGCTGCTGTGGTTCTTCCCCTTTGCGGGGAACCCCGAGATCAGCAACAGCGGGACGGGGTGCGGGTGGGAGTGGCCCGAGAACGGGATCAACAGGACGGAGGGCATGTGGCCGCCGCCCGACCCGGATAAGATGCGCAGGGGCCAGGGAGGCTGGCCTGGAGCGGCGAGGGGTGCGGAAGGCGTGCGGGTGCCGCGGTACGCGAGTAAAGAGGAGGAGTTGGAGGCGTTCAAGTCACGGCAGGAGGCGGACAGGAAGAGGTGGGCGGGGGAGAGGTCGAGGCTCATGGCGGAGCTGGAGGAAGAGGACTACGAACTCGTCTCGGAGGAGTCTGACGACGGGTACGAGCAAGGGGCTGACGGCGAGCCGGGGTGGACGAATGCCGATGGCGAGAGGCTGCAAGACTTTGGGGTAGACGAGGATGAAGACATGACGGATGACGAAGACGTCCCTCTCGCCGAGATTCTGCGTCGGAGAAAGGTCCTGCAAAAGGACGGAGAAGAATAGACAGATCTGACGACATCACAAAGATTAAAAAAACAATGAAACCCGGATGTTAATAGAGAAATCTTTTGTTGGGATAGTCCCCCAGGTTTCTATACTAATCCTCGCCTCAAACCAACACAATGGGGAGGGGCATCCAAAGGAAGGGCTCGCACATGCCATTGAATCCCCTAGACTCCGAATTCTACCAGACAAAAAAAGGTCGGCACACAAGACGCAGGACTGCAAATCCTCCCTTCCGCCCATAGGGTTGCCCTGATCCTGTATGCAGAAAGAAACTCGAGAGAGAAAAAACAAGGAATTTGAAAAAAAAAAAAAAAAAAAGAAAAGGGCAAAGGTTTGGGTTTTTGTGTGACCATGAACCGCTTTAGCCACTCTAGACGCATTTCCACGGTCTTCTTTTTTTCCATCCCTCCATCAAGTGCCAAAAGAGTAGCTAGCAATCGTGTCGTGCAATCATGAAGCATCAATCCAGGGTGGGGTCCAGATCTATAACAAGAACCCGACGACGGTACCGTCCCTGACAGTCCACGCACAGAGAAACAGCGGCAGCTCGATTACCAGTCGTCGTCCTCGTCCTTCTTCGCCATCGCGTTCTTTCTCGCGAGCAAGGCGTCCGCCAAGCTGTTGCCCAGGCTGGGCGTGGGGGTGTTGCTGCGGCTATCGGAGCCGTTGGATCCGTTCAAGCTAAGACCGGAGTCGCGGGCGGGAGTAGGAGCAGGCTTGCGGCCGGCAGCGGGACGCTTGACGGGAGGCTGAGGAGGGGTAGGCTTGCCACGGGCAGCCGCGCCGTTGGGAGGAGGAGGAGGCGGGCGAGGGGCCACGACCGGAGCGGGCGCTTGCTCCTCGACGTAGGCAGCGGGCACCCAGGCTTGGCCTCCGGTGTGCTTGGCGAGCCACCAGCCTAGGGAAGTCAGTTTCATACGCAGTAACGAAAAGGGCGGGTGTGCTTACCGTTGTTCTCCTTCTGGACAATCTCAATAAGATCGCCAGCGCGGATCGTGAGCTCGTTCTCTCGCTGGCCTGCGAAGTCGTAGAGGACCTTGGCCATGATCCTGCCGGGCGCGGGAGGCGCAGCAGGGGGAGGAGGAGGGGGCATTCTGGTCGCGGCAGCCGGCTTGGTGTGTGTGGGAATAGCTGCAGAGGCGGCTTGTTGTTGACGGCCAAAGGGTCCTGTCTTGGCTGAGCTGACAGAACTGTTGGAGCTGTTGGAGACAACTGAGCTGGCAGCAGCAGGAATCTGAGGAGTAATGGAGGGTCCCTTCTTCGCTGAAGAGGCACCTGGGCGGGGCTGGGGCCGGCTGCCAGTAGTGCGAGATGGTCTGCCATTGGGACCACCAGGCTTGATGAGCTTGCCACGCGTGATGGGCTTAGGAGGGACTGGCTTGCCCTTTGGTGTCGGCTTAGAGACAGAGGAAGGGGGCTCGCCAGGCTGAGTGTGTACAGCTCCACTCTTGTAGTAGTCGACAGGTTGCTGAGAGTCTTTGAGGACCTTCACGGTCTGCATCTTGCCGGGCTTCTTTGCGTACTCGATTACTTCACCAATCTTCAAGCTAAAGCCGCCGGGCATGACCTGTTCCATCTGCGTGAACATCTCGGTCTTCAGTACACAGTTCAACAAAGGATCAGCCTCTTGTGGCGATCCCACACCCAGGGAGAACCAATCGTCGCGAGCGGTCGAAGTACCAATGAACTTAATGGCACCCAACGGCATTGAGCGCTCCACGGAGATCTGCGGCTGGTGGTTGACCAGCATCTGCGCGACGATGTAGAACTTGCTGTTTGTGACCACCAGGATTCGGGGACTAGGCTTGCTGGATCTGCCAAACTTGGCCTCGAGGATCTCTCCGCGGCAAGAGAAGACGGCTCTCTCGTTGCTGCCAATGCCAATCGCGTTTCTGATCTGAGAACCAGGACCAGCTGCTGCGTTGATGCCAAGGTAATCTCCCAAGAATCTGCGAGAGCCAAGCAAACTGTATCTGCGTCTCTCTTTGCGGTTCTGGAGAACTCTGTGGCCCTGATCACGCAGCTGCAAGAACTCGGCGCCGGTTCTCTTCTTACGCCAGAACCGTTGAATACGAGTGGCAGACTCTGCACGGTAGGCCAGGTAGGCACGCCACATACGCTGGATACGGGTGGCCATGTTGTGCCAGTATCGGTCTCTCATGTGCTCGAGAGCAAACAGTGTCTCTGGTGACTTGATGAAGGCCTTGGTAGTACCCATCTGCCACTCTTCCTTGGGAATACTTGTGTCCTTGAGAATCTGCTGAACCGCCTGCTGGTATGATCCTTGCCATGTGTACTCGCCAGCATATGAGGTGGCAGGCGACAGCAGGAAGAAGCGGTCGACAAACTTTTCGAACGTCTGTCTGTATGCGAAACCGGCGCGGCGAATGCGAACGTTCTCCTGGAGACCGAGGTACTTGATCTGATGCAGGACGTTGGGCACATTGTACTCGGAGTACGACTTGTTCTCGTTGGGCTTGATGGTTCGGATGTATGAAGGCTGGCACTTCATCAAGGTCTCGACGAGAGCGTTCGCCGAGGCTCTGATTCTATCACCAGCGGAGGGCGGCTGCTTTCGGTTGTCTTGGTCGACTTGGTGAGGGAACAAAGTATGAACGAATTTGTTGCCGCTGGTGCCGAAGAGGTTGAGCAGACCCTTGAGTAGAAGATCCTTGTTCTTGTCCGTGATTCCATCGACCGTGTAGGCGACATCACCGGCGTAGTGCTTGATGATGAAGCTGCCTTGGCGGGGGGTCAAGTGAGGGTTAGACATGCCGTTGATGCTCTGCATAAAAGTGCGGTCAGAAGCAGCGGGGTCGGCGTGGGCTGTCTTGGTCGCATCCTTCATGGCGGACAAGATACCGGGAGGCCGGACCGCCTCGATGAGGTCGCACACAATCTTGTTGTCGAAGTACTTAATAGGTGTCCACTGAATCTGTTCGCGTGCGTACTCGTCTTGCTCAGCCTTGAGGGTCAACTGAATGAAGATCTGCTGCAGCTTTTCGTTCACGTAGTTGATGCAAAGCTGCTCGAAACTGTTCTTCTCGAAAATCTCGAAGCCATAGATATCGAGGATACCAATGTTGTTGATCGTTGCCTCCTTCGCCTTCAGAGACTTGTTGACGCGCTCGACAATCCAGTCAAAGAGGTTGTTGTAGATTGCCTTGGACAGAGCATCTCGGGTCGCGACGGCCTGGGAAACGTTCGTGGGGGATTCGATGACCTCGCCGTTTCGCGGAGTGAGGATACGGATCGTGATGGCCTTAATCAGTTGGTCCGGGGTGACCTCCAACAGATAGGCCAAGAAGTCTACGACCGACTGGTCGCTAACCGCGGCGTAACCGTCCTGACCTTCGTGGAATTGAATGTTGCCAGCCCACAGGATGGCAGCCAGCATGCGGTGTATCTCGTCCTGCTCAGCCTGAGAGAGACCAATAATCTTCATGGCCTGGAGGGTATCGTTGTATTCGGCCAAGTCGTCGATTCCGTCAACCTCGAGACACTTCGATCTGCTAGTGTAAACGTATGTCTCGGGCGTTTGAATGCCGAATTGTTGGCGGTAGTTCTGGGAGGCGCCCTTGGTGAACTGGTAGAAGATGTGGAAGTTTCGCTCGTTGGTAATCTGGCCGACGACTCTCGACTTCTCAAGGAGGTAGTTTGTGATGTCGGCACCGACGGGCTCGCCCTGCGCGTTGAAGTGAATCTGCAGATACTTGCCGAAACGAGACGAGTTGTTATTCCTCAGGGTCTTTGCGTTTCCGAAAGACTCAAGCAAAGGATTGGTTGCCAGCACCATGTCCTTGACCTTCTTGATATCGCCCGATTCTCCTCCCGACACGTTGGCGATGTACTGCATGATGCGCTTGGCAGCCTCGGTCTTGCCAGCACCCGACTCTCCAGAAATGATGACACACTGGTTGTCTTGGTAGGCCTTCATGTTGTAGTACGCGGATTCGGCGATAGCGAACACGTGTGGGGGCATCTCGAGACGGTTCTTGCCCTTGTAGCTGTCGAGGACCTGGTCGGTGTAGATGCCCAGGTCCCGGAAGGGATTAACGGAGACCAAGACATGGCCAATGTAGGTGTAGATTTCGGCGCCCTCGAATCGCTTCTTGAGGTTCTCGTTGATGGCTTCGTTGGACACCTTACTGAGCAACGTAAGATCCGAAACGCCAATCTCCTTCTTCTTGGTGACCTCGTAGGTGGCCTTCTTGGGCTTGCCGCCGCCGCCCGCCGCACCGGAGGGGCCGGCCGGGCCTGTCCTCGCGGACTTGTCCTTGGGACGTCGTGAGATACCCTAGAGATGACACGGGCGTTGGTCAGTTTCTGTGGCTTCTGGCAGTCGGGAGGCGGTGGGAGATTCGGGGTCGCCAGTCGGAGGTGGGAAGAGGGTGCGCGCGGGGCATGAAGCAAGCGTCTCACCATGCTGGGCAGTTCTCAATGAGGGAATGCCGGTATCTCTGTGTAGTTGCGCGCAGGCAAACAAAACGGTGAGGATATTTTGCGCTTGGTAGGATGAAAGAGCGAAAAAGTTGCTTTTTTGCTGAGTGAGAGACTGGAAGGAAGGCGCACCAGAAAGTGACGTTGCGGTGCGGTGCGGACGGAGGGATTACGCAGGTGCAGTGTGGCTGGTTCTTGCCCGAGATCCAAATCCAAACGTTGACCAACGGACGGTCTGCTGGCTGGCTCGGCGCAGTGGTCCCGGTCGGTCGGTGGTGCTGGCTGCTGGTGCCTGACGACACTGGTATTACGCCCAGCCTGCCCGTTCCCAGCGCCCACGTCCTTGCCTTAGTTGGTACCTTAGGGGGAATTTCTGGCGGGGCTTTTCTGGGGGGGCTCAGTCAGCCAATGACCGAGGTTCTCCCGTGTCATGCACAGCCTCAAGCCGGAGAATCGGTGGCGTCTGGTTCCGCGTAATGCTCACGATGCTTTAGCGCTCCTCCTTAGGCGAATCGTAGCTCCACTCATCTTTATGCCCCCCTGTCCATCCCGCCCTCCTGCTGCGGGAGATTTTCTTGGAAGTTTCTGCCAAAAAAAGACCTGACTCTTGCTCCTGCCTGCCCGCGTGTCTGGAATAAGACTCTGAGGTCATAGCTTTCATCAGGTTTTCCCTCGTCGCCCATTGGTGGACTACATATCGTTTTACGTTTGCGTGTGCCATGCCAAACGATAAAAAGTCCATTCTCGCAGCCCTTCGCAGTCTCATGTGTACCCAAGGTCAATTTAAGGTCTGGCCATGGTTCGTCCCAGAGACAGCGCGTGTAGCGCGGAACTGTTTCACCCCTCAACGTGGAAATGTTCTAAGCGCCAGCCCGGCTCAAGTTGGCCCCTCCGACCCTGATTGCGGCCTGTCCCGCAGCCGGCGGATCGTCACTGTCAAGGCTCTTCAGAGAGCCCTCTTCCCAACGACCCAACGGGTCGTAAACCTCGATATCACTTGATTGACAAAGTCGACGTCAGCGGCATCCGAGGAAGCCGACGGTGGGATTTCCAAGACGGCGCACCTTCTTCATTATGTCTGTCTTATATGCTCTATCTGCTAGCCCTGTTTGCTACTCATAATATTCATCGTAACATTGCTGTCATGATCTTCGCTGGCCCAACTTTCTTTTCTCTGTAACCTTATCAAGGCCAGAACGCACATCGCTTATCTTATCCCGGGAGCCCCAGTCCCAGACCCCTCACAATCCTAACGTCGTCCGCTTGGCGTTCGAGCGCTATCCTCATCTTCTCGTTATACTGTTTTTCTGCCTCTTCAACCCTCGCCTCTTCTTCCGACAGCTGTCTCTCTTCTTCAAAGTCGTCTGCTTGGAATCCAGGCTTGCTCGAGAAGCTGACGAGGCCGAGCTTCTCACCGGTCCAGAACAAGATGTCATCATCGTTGACATTGTCCACTCCGGTGCGTGTTTGTGTCGATAAGATCTTTCTGGCAAGATCGTCTGAGCCCGGCATCGACGCGAATAAGGAAGGCCGTTCCGAGACCTCGCTATGGCCGATCTTATGCCGCCGTACCTCGGTGAAACCATCTCGTTCAAACCACTTCAAAAGGCCAGAACCGTCAGAAAAGACGATTCGGGTGCCCTGATTCGTCACCGATAGGATCTTGGACTGAGAAGACGTCTGCCGGTTCTTCATGGTAGAGTTCTGCATGAGAGCTGCGGAGGAGTTTCCTTGCGGCGGGCACAAGCCGTACAACTCCAACGATCCTTTGGTATTGTATTCGCCTGCGGCGATGAGAGTACGACCGCCGGCCTTCATCTTGGAGTCCAGGACTTGCTCCAAAGACAGGTCCGCCTTTCGACGTATCTCGCTGTCCATCGTCGAGAAAGGATAAGGCAAAGAGGCAAGACTTGAAAGCCTGGCCCCGGAGTGAATCGATCCTACAATCGATGGGAAGGTGCGTCGATCGTAGTGGAGGATATTGGAAAAGCGCCCTGCGACGTAAATATCATCTGAAAAGGAATGCTCGTCGTTCGGGTTCGGCAGATGCAAGATGCTCAGAGGCGTCGGTTGCGACAGGGGCGCATACACCGGTAGCGGATCCGAATCGAAGGGCGACTCATCCGGAGAATTTACCGCCAGCACATCAATCTTCTCGACGATGTCCCTCGGCGTCCTCACCCTGGCCCTGTAATCGAAAAGATGAATCCCTAGTGATGTCCCAACGGTCAGTGGCAAGCCAGGTGCGGCAGGAGATAGGGCTGTGATGGACCACTCGAACGACTGCTCCGACGCGACTTCAAGACGATTCAGGTCGACCTCCCGCAGATGTCCTTGGACGGCAACGAAAGCCCTGCCGGAGAAGTCGTCCACAGCGATGCACTCCGTCACCCCAGTGTCAATCTTCCTAGACCGTCCCATGGTCTGTGGTCCGTCGAGATAGAGCACCCCATCACGGCTTTTCCCGACCATGGCCCCCTTGCGCCCACGAGCCCCCTTCAAGTCCCAAATGCACATGGACCCATCGTCCAGTGGCGATACAGCCAGCAGTTCGTTGCTTCTTTGGTTCGGGCTGTAGAGGGCCATCCCCCTGACGTCTAGTGTATCCTGTTCGTTCCCGTCCCGAATCCTCGGCTGCTGCAGCCAGCTCGTCGCAATGGGCGCATATCGCTGGATGTACTCGTTGTACCAGAAGACCGGCTCAGTCGGAAACGAAGGGTCCCAGTTGGCCATATCCCTCTGCCTGCGCTGTTCCCCCGTCTCTTCATCGTAAAAGTGCTGCGGCGGTTCCGTACCGCTCTGCTCTTGGCTCAAATGCACGGCAGCGCTCAGCAAAGGCTCGTCAATGACGTCGTCGTCGACGATGCGGGATAGGCGGCGGCGACGCTGAATGGACTCCAGAAACGGGGACTCGTCGAATGTCCGTGATCGCCAGTGGCTATTATCGAGGGAGATCTTTTGCAGCTTTCGGCAGACGAGCTGTAGGCCGGGGAAGTCGTGAGGCTCGAGAACTGGGAAACCCGAATCCGGGCCTTGTCAGCTGCAAAATCTGGGGTGCAGAGCCAAGACGGCGAAGCAGAGCGGAACTTACAGGACAGGACGCGCAGCAGTATCTCGTCCGGAAGCTCGTCGAGCCTCTTCGGAGAGTATCGCGACGCCATTGTGGGTAGGGATGTTGGGGAAGCGGCCGGAGACTCATGCGAAGGGTACTTCTTTTAGCCCTGAGTTTCGGGGTGGCAGAGGGGAGCCCGGACGGGATCCTGGGAGAAGAGTGGAGGGTCGAAGGATGATCCTATCGCTATCGTTATCGGTATTCCTGGCGCCCTAGCCCTTTACAGATTAGTGCAGATCCGGGGGTGGACCGGGTAGAAACGCCTGGACTTTTTGGGTGGGTTGCGCTGTCAAAGCTCCAGTTGTTTTGCTCGTCTCGTGCCGTCCTCTCGCTAATTAAAGGTTGTCGCTTCGTCAACAGCACACGCCAATCTGCTTGCTGCTAGCGCCTCTGTGCTCACCTCACACGTTGCGTTGCAGCTTCCAGAGCTTCCTTCATCGCGATTATCAATGACTGGAATTTTCCATGATCCAAACCGCGGGAAGCGGTGAGTCTCCCCCTCGAATGTCTGAAACAGTACAGCCACGTTCTTTCTCCTCCAGACAGCAACCGCGGGTACACAACAGGAGGCCAATCCCGCTCGGCTCTTGAAGCCACTGCAACCGTCGAATCCTTGGCAACGAGCCGATTCCGCATTCCCGTCGTACCTCCACAGCCTGATTTTCCGCCGCGACTTGTTTCTACCTTATTGGGCTGCAACTCGTTGATGCCAGGGTCTTCGTGTTACCCAGCCTGCAAGAGAGTGTCCGTTGAACGTGAGCGATGCTTGCGCAGCAATGCCATGCTTGCGATCCCTTTCATTGAGTGGACGCAGTATGCCATGGTTGAAGTCGTTGGTTCAGACTGCGCCTGCAAGGCAACGAGCATCCGCTACATTGACGGGCCAAATGTTGTGAGGGCAACATGTCTCCAGCGGCTGTTGCCGTACGAAACTCCAGTCACAAGAAGAGAGGCCTCTGAGCTTACTCCAAGATCCAGACAGATTGTCGTCTAGCCAGAGCAACTTCCGGCAGAGAAGAGGGATGGTTGCGAGTCGGGTAGTCACATTTCGATTTCTTTTCTATCTTCTCTCTCGTTGTCTTCGTCGCCCTGCTTCTCGTTGTCCCTCCCGCAAATATCTCCATCTCGATATTTACGTTCTCTCCATTCACCTTGCTGAGGTGTCTCACGATCACCGATGGACCTCTATGAATTCCAATCATATACCTGCCGAGAAGATCATAGCTGGGTCGGTCTGCAGCAACCTTGATGACAATCATGACCGCGTGAACATGACTCCTAGAAAGTTTGAGCCACCCGCGTGGTCCCGTTATGGCCACGCGATCCAGTCTCTGGGGAAAGACGAACTGAACCGAGTGATTCAGAGCCCATGTGTTTATCCATGTCCCCACGTTATTTATACTAAGGCCATTCGACGTGGGGCAACGGCGAACCTTCTCTCTCTGCGACATTGCATACACGTTCTTCTTCGTTTCGTCGCCGAAGTCAGCCAGAGTTCGACTCCTCTATCGCCCGACAACATGAGCAGCCCAATAAATTCACAAAATCCGTCGACGCCACCAACACACGACCGGGCCAGAGATCAATATCGGCACTCCCATACAATGAGAAAACCGGAAGTCTTCTTTTACGCAGAGAGATTGACCGAACTGACCAGGCTCAAGTGCTTTCATGGACACCTAACCCCCGTATCCAGGGGCTACCCTCGTCCTGCCTCCTGCCCAAGGTGCTACTACCGTGTCCAAGACATGGCGGAGTTATTCTACCAGACGTGTCCTGGCGACTGGCAGGGCGACGGCGCCTTCCTCAAAGAATGTCTCAAGGCCGCCGCATGGGGGAATACAAATCCAGACCTCACCATCGATATTGGCGCTTTCGTCTCGTACCGTTGGAAGCTGATACTACTGGCCGACCAACTGATTAAGGACCTCGGTCTGCCTATCCCCGGCAATCAGACGTGCGCGATGTGGAACGAATACGTATGGCGAGGGGAGGTTCTCTACAATTTGGAAGGCTTTTGGGAGAAGTATCATTGGGTGTGGGACATCTTCGCCCACGACCATCGCATGCCTGAAGCTTCCCCCGAGCAGGGCCCTGACTTTGAGCGCTTTCGCCGGTACCTAGCTGCGTCCGTTATGCAAGCGGACCTGCCGTTCAAGCCAACTCTGGCCATGATTGATCGAGTTGTGGACTACGTCGGACGCGCGAAGAATGCTGATCCCGACTTTCGACTACGCTGGCAAAGATTGTGATATTGATCCAGAACGGAGGAAAGTTCGCTCCGTCCACTATGCATACAGGAACACATTCTAAGCAACCGGAGCTTCGTCCTCAGGTCTCTCGCTCTTCCGGAAGCAAACCAGCAGGCCCAGGTCGTAAACCACCTTGAGGCATCCGGCGCTCACGAAGGCCACCCAGAAGAGGTTACGGTCCACCAACACTCCGACGCCGAGGGGGCCTACACTCTGCGCAGCCGTCTTGAGGACATTGACAAGTCCCATCACTGTGGTTCGTTCCTTGGGTTTCAGAATTCCTGCTACGAAGGCTGCCCTGGGTGCCACATCCATGGACTGGGTTAAAGCCCGCAGAATCAAGAGAACTATCGCAGCGTTGACGGATTGCGGCAAAGGTAGGAGGGCAGTGAATACTGCGGAGGGGAGGTGGGTGAACACCATCGTCTGGTTTGGCTTGTAAGCTTGGAGTTTCTGGGAGGAGTCTTCGTGGGAGCTTGATACTTACGTTGAGGTTGCCGAAACGCTTCGCCAATGAGGATGCGATCAAGGTAGTTACCACAGCTAAGAAGCTGCATACGAAGAACATGGATCCGAGAAGGCCGTTGTCCATGTCGAACTTCCACCGGAAGAAGAAGGCAATCCACGACCTAGGAACACTCAGTTAGCTTCTCATTGACAGCCGAATAGACAAAGTTCACATACTGTGGTGTAAGACAGGAAGCAAAGGAGTCGAGTGCAAAGAGGAGACACAGCGGTATAACGACCGGAAAGCTGCTCTTCTGAATGCCGGGAAGCAGCTTTCTCCTCCAGCCCACAGTCTCAACCTGTACCTCAGCTCTCTGCGCGCCGAGGATGGGCCTTGTCTCATCCTTGTCATGAGCTTCGGGTTCTGCCTCGGAGTCTTGGCTAAGCAGCAGGACTAGAGCGAGCTTGAATACACCCAGCGCCGAATACCCGTAGAAGACTGCCCGATACGCATCTTCGTCGCTCCACCCGGAATTCTTAGTGAGAGACTGAGCTGTCCAGCCACTCGTCATTGCTCCTACTGCCGTTCCGGCTGCTCCTACGAGACTGTACCAAGCATACACATCACTTCTGTCCTCGGCGGTAGTCAGATGGGCTACGATGCTCTCTTCAACGGCACGAAACGGGCCAATCTCGTTGCCTCTGTGCTCAATAATCAGCCAATATTCGAAAAGTCTACCAAAATACGTTTCATACCCGGGACTTATGACTCCAAAGACCGCAGCAGCCAACAAGATCCAGAATCTATCACACAGCCCAAACGCGACACCGCTGGCGACCATAAGCGCTGCCCCCAACGCCAAGACGAGTCTCCGACCAGCCTCATCGGCGCAAGAAGTGAGGACCAGGCTGATGCAAGTATCACCAACAAGCGTCAATGCCATAAACAGCCCAATTCGCGTGGCCGAGAAGCCCAGGAGCTCGAGGTATGCGACCAGATGCAGGGTCGTCGCGCCGTACGCGAACATGCGGATAAAGCGCTGTAGACATATCAATTTGACGTCCTCGTGACATCTGCAAAGGCTTTTCAGGCCGCTCTCGGCAAAGCCGCGGGCAAGGAGTTGGCGGAACATCTTTTGGGTGTTGGACAGAGAGTGTGGCTCGGGGGAAAGAACGCGCCTGTCAGGCCAGCAGAGCGAAGTTTGAAGGACGCGCGATGAAGTGGGTCGCGGATTTGATGTTTCCGCATCATCGAGAGATAGGGCGCAGATGACACATATTTAGATCCGACCAATTCCGCCTAAAAACAACTCTTTATAAGTCCCAATTCAGTTGTGAGTAGTCTGTCCTGCGATAATTTGAGGCGGATGGGCTCGGCAAATTGTGCATAGTCTCTCACAATGATAGAGGAGACTAGTCGCCTAGTGTATTACATAGTCTGGAGAAGTCCTGGCTTTTGCTAGGCACGCTGTGACAGTGACCACTTCGGCTATGTTCTGCAGGAGATACGTACAGTGAGAAGAGATAATAGAGATAATCGCAACAGGAATGATGGAGATGGCGATGGGCCGGGAGACCTTAACGACGGTCACAACCTAGGAGCTGAGCGAACAATCTACACAGCACAACTAGCAAAGTCTTTTGATGCGTATTTCAAACTAGAAAACGTGCTCCGGGGTTTCGACGGAGTTGAAGTATTAGTTAGATAGGTATTTACATGAGATATAATGCAAACAGTACCTTGTTAATTGCCATGACGAAGATCCATACTGGCGGCATTCTGACCCGAAACTCGAACCTGGCTTCGTCGTCTCTGATGACTCTCAAAATGACCGCCGTACGGTTTATGGGCTAGAAGTCCCGGAGAAAGGCCTTGAGTTGCTGCCGCATGCAACAGTTTCCCGTTCGCAACTGGTTTCATACGTGAACCGCTCCTGCTCTGTATCTCTGGGTTCACACGGTCGATCGCGATATCCCGATCCGCAACGACCTTGCCACCCATGGCTGTAGAGATGGGTATGCCAGTAAGGTCGATGTCATCTGTTCCAATTGCTTTCAACATTAACATCAACCATCTGATCAGAGCTAGAACCATAACCTCGGGAATTCGCCGGGCTATTTGCTTTGAGTCGGTTGATTTGGTCGAGATTGTTATTACTATCGTTTACCAGGGTCTCATCACCGCTGGACGAGTTGCCGCTACATCCTGGCCGAGAAATCTTAAAAGCTGGCGGCCGTTGAGTTTCCTGTAGCAGGAACTCCTTCAGCTCGTTGACACCTTCATCCGAGGCTTCCTCCAAGCCGTTCAAAATGGTCTCGTCTGCATCGGGTATTGCGTCCGAGGCTATCTGCTCAAAAGTTGCCTGAGTAGGTCCCGGCATCTCTACGGGGATCGCCTCAAGATTTATCCTCTGCATATCCATGTTGAGACCAAATGCCAATTGGTCAAGCTTCTCGTTGAAGTCGTTTCGCGCTGTGGAGAGATCGATTTGAGTGACCATAACGTTATCTTTGTCGCCGGATCTCGAGCGAAATCTAAAACGTTGCTTCCCTCGTTGGGTAGTACTCTTGAGGCGGCCCTCAATCTCGACGCACATGTTAACTGGCCTCCCGCTGTGTTCGAACGCGAAAGCTGTGTAAAATACGTGATTGTGTAGCGGCTTCTTCTCGGTGTCGTTTTCTGTAAGCTCCCATTTGAGACACCGTAAACCTATGCCGTCCTTAGCTCTCTTCTGTGTTCCTTTGAAGATCCAGCTGTCAACGTATTGACGAGTAACATTTCGGCGAGTTCCCATCCCACCTAGTTCAACCATTCCGCCAGCTCCTATGGTGGGTTGAAATGACCTCTCGTTGGTTTCGAGGCTCATGCTCAGAGGGCCGTAAATGGCGTGAGGCCCAAAGTACTCCGTAACCTGCACGGCGTGTTCAGAATCCAGGGATGTCCGGGTAGGCTTGCTGCGACTAAACCTGCCGCGGGGGACAGGCGCATCTTCACTTAGTGTGATTAGGACGTTGGCGCTGCTGAGCATATGTTCCGGGGGTTGCTTAAAAGAGATGTCGATGTACACGATGCCCGCTGGGTTCTGGTCTGGCCCGAGCACTCCCCATCGCGCCATTCTCCAACGATAATTGCACTCAATCTCGACTTTCTCAATGAATTTTGACCCTAACAATAGATGAGACCCAACAGCTTTTTCCTCATTGAACCGTTCGAAATCGGACCGACCGAAACGACGAACCCTCAGCCCGGGCCGGGCCTGATTGCGTCTGACGTTCGATCTCGGTTCGATGGATACATGGGCCATTCTCGACGTGGGGACAGGCTGTCGATACTCACCCACGCGACGACTTTCATTGTTGTTGCTTGAGTTGCTCCTCTTGCTCTTCTTCGCTTCGTTGAGAGCAGCAGCAGCGAGCGGCATCGGAGGACCGGCCATAACGCCGTTTTGGTACGCCGTAGCGGCGTGGCCAGCTTTGATTTTTTTTTTTTTTTTTGGTGCTTCCAAGTAGCTGCCAGGTTGTTCGAGTAATGATTGATGAAGAAAACTATCAACCGTGGGAATGTTTGAGGCAAGTTCTACCAGGCTCTGAGGCCTGTCAACAATTGGTGTTGGGACCCCTCAATTATTATTAGGTACCGTATGTGTGTACAATAGTGGCGGAGGCCTGCATGCGAGATGCCCTTCGCTCATTCAGGAAGCAATTCTCCACTCTTCGTGCGCCCTTGGTTACATGAAGCTTTACCGACAACGGATGGCGCTCTCAGAGCCTTATCTTGCCCACCACTTCAGATGTTGGCGAAGACATTGTATCCACTGGCTTGCGTGCTTGCGGAACAAGCGTAGCCCGCTAAAGTGGTTGGCGTAAGTGCAGCATGCAGACTGCGTGATAAGCTGCATGCACAGCCAGGCGCTTACGCCCTCAGTCAAGTGGAACGGGGGCCTTCTCCAGATTTAATATGTGCAGCCTGATTATGCCCATACGAGCCGTTGCTTTATCACCAGAGATCCATCTGTCTAAATATCCATCTACTTGAGATTGACCGCGTCTGAGGCTTCTTCCACCGTTGTGGTTTGCTTCACATACACATCATCAATCTTCATGCTGGACGAGATACATCCGCCTCGGGAGCCAACATGCAACGCAACTTATCAGGCCCACAGCAAGAAAAGGGCACAGAAGCACCAACCGATGAAAGCGAGCGATTAAAACCACTACCCGTGACATCACGAGCGGCACAAGGTCCCTTTCCGCCAGAATTACCCACAAAGATATCAGGACCAGACTTGTCCTTCCTCAATGATGACCAGCCTGATCAGAAACATCTGGCTGTTGCGATTTCAAAAGAGCAGTCTGACTCTCGTCACAACAATCAACAAGGATTTCAAACCGATGAAGATGCATCGCGGGAACTCAACGAGGCATGTTTTGCAGGAGAGAACAGTCAACACAAGATCCGAGAGCTTTGGAAGATGCAAGGATCCGATGAAAACGAAGATGGCAAATTAGCTACGGAGACGAGACGCGCCCAATTCCTCTTAGATTTAGAACGGGCACAAAAGGAATTCGACTATTGGGATGAACGAGTGTGGCAGATCTCTCTCGCGAGAGGTCATAGAGGTTTCTATGAGCCATACATGTCGGGGGCAAACCACACGTCGAACGTCTTTAACGGGATACCCACAAGCACCTTGAATCACGCGCCTTTACAGCCAGATCCAAAGCCAAAGAGCCCTCCTCGAAGCGAACAAGAACCCGTGCGATACCAAACGCGAGAGGTGAAACGAAGAAGAGACAAGAGAGAGTCTGAGAAAGAACTCCACACCAGCAAGCCATCCCCTTTCGTGGATGTCCATGTCAACCCCAAGACTCGTCGAGATGTTACATTGCACGTCGATATGGATGTGAATGAAGATCTAGAAGAAGAGCTCGAAGAGTTCTCAAAGCTCAGGCGAATTGGACACTTTGAGGCGGCAAAGCGATATTTCGAGGACCATCTCGAAAGCTTCATCGACAACTCATACGTCCTGGATCAGTATAGTCAATTCTTGTTGGAGATCTCAGACGTTCATGCGCTCACCAAGTTGGCGAGGGAGTACCCGCCAAAAGACGTAGAGCAGGCCGCATCGGCCAACTGGGTTCTTGTTTTCCAGTGAGCACTTCAATTTGACGACGATGCTTATCCGCAAAATATACGGATAAAAACGCCAAACCTTCGGAAGTTGCTTACAAACTGGCCAAACCTGGATTCTACTGAAGTAAGTTGCCCACCGTGTGCTTAAATTAGTATTGTCTGACCAAATTTCAGTTCCAATGTCTCATCAACAACCTGCGCGTTGTTAAACACGTAGGCGGCGCGGAGGAGCATACTGCAAGAGAATATGGCGAATTGTATGCATATCTCCACCATGAAGACCGCATTTGGGACTTCAGAGATCTGTGTCATGGGCTCCTGGCCACAATGTCGGTGAAGAAAATGATTCGTTTCCTTTTCAACAAATATGTGTCCTCACGGGACCAAAACGCAGCAGGGGTTACTCAGATCATTCAACAGCACTGGGAAAGCTCTGCCGGAGATGAAGTGACCTCCTTAGCTTTATTGGATATCTTCACAGCGTTCGCCATGTGGACCCTGGCTGATACCAGGCGTCGGTATAAAGCTTCACTGGACGACTCCGAGGAGCGTCAGAGCGCCGAAATGTATCTGGAGATCGCCCATAATTACGCCACTGAAGTCTTACACCAAGATCCTGCCAATCTTAAGTCTCGGCCATACCTCCAGTGGGTTGTTGCCAAAGTTCTAGTAGAGAAGAACACCGACACAGCCCGGTGCGGACAAAGTGCCGTTACAAAGTATTTATCTAATTTACGAGGGGAAACCCAGGTCAGGCCTGGGGCGTTTCGTGGACTTCTATGCTTTTCCGACACTGTTGTCTACACGCCAAGCGAAGACGAGGCTCCAGACTGGCAGCCGGATATTACCATCACCTTCTCCCACGAGCAGGAGAAGGCGCTCCAAATGGTTTTAAGAAATGCGAGAGACCTTGGCGATGTTTTGTTAGAAGCTGCTTGCCTTCAGCAGCTGATACATTCATCTCCGAATCCTGAGGTATACTTAGTCGACTTGTGCAACTTATGGCGCTCCGTAGGGAATCGGTCGGCTCTGTTGAGAGCCTATCTTTATCGCTACATTTTGAAGCGATCGCCAGACGCTAGCAATGATCTACGGCGCGATCTTCTGGAGTTCGGAGATGCTCAATGTGATTACAACGTACAAGAAGCCCGGTTCATGATCCTTAGGGCACTGTCGACAAGGTCCTACGAAAAGATGACCTATCTCAAAAGGGCACAAGACCTCTATGAAAGAGGCCTTTATGCTAAATCATATCACAATCCGTATCACGAATACACGTCACCGCCGCAACTACGCAACGAAACAATGTATTCCGCTAAGAATGACGGTCAACAAGCAAGTAATCACCCCGATGAATACTACTCGGACGATTTGGTCCCCAGCGATAATGACGACGCTCATAACAATGTCTCGCTGGCCGTGAGAAACCAGAGTCCAAGCCTACACAATCTCGCAAGGCCAACGCTGAATGAAGAAGAAACCTCTCAGAAGAATGAAACGAGATGGTTAAATGAACAGCATTCACCAAGACAGATACTGGCAAGGCCTTTCAATGAGGTTAATCACGCTGAATTGATGCCCCCACAGCCTGCGACAAACATCTTGCCTGTAACGCGTGACTCTATGGAGATGAGCAAGGAATTTGATCACGGAGAAAGGAGCATTCTTGCCTCTGAAGGCCAAAAGTCAACGAAAATATCTGTAGACGGAGACGGGGACGGGGAAAGGGAGGGAATCATCGACTTTGTTGACGTCCAAGACAAGCAACTACATGAAAAAGAGAATAGTGGTAAGTAAATTACACTTGACCTTACCTTGAAACACTTTAGTTATCAACAAGCATGATTGGACGAAAGGTCATCTAACAGTTTACTTACCTAGGCGAGCCTGATGACGGCGGGATTGGGGTGGAGAGTCTCCAACCTCACGTCTGTGACGAGGAGGGGAAGCAGGAAAATGTGCAAAGTATGGGTGCAGCATCATGAACCTTAACTCACTTATGAGAATCCTGGTGGTCCACGTCCGAGCAACTTTTAGCCAGCATTTCTGGCATTAAGGAGGAAGGTTCAGAAAAGCGAGATCGATAAAGCAACTTCATTCCCACAACACTTATCTTGCTGTTATCACTTGCAGGCTTATTATTTCTTAACTTACCGCTCACATTACTTAGTCTACTCGGATAGACCCCTTAAATAACTCATTTCCGCAGTTATACTCTTAATCCACCACAGTAGCCTGTATCTAAGAAGAGATGCCAAGTATGAGGAATTCATCGCAGAAGGTGATGTCGGAATTGTCCAGAGAACTCATCAAGAAGTTGAGAGCGAGCGGGGCTGATTTCCCGCACTCCCCCCTCTGTCTGGCTGTGGTTTGACTCTCGTGGTCATGGGTCCAGGGATCGAAAAAATCGTTGAAGCTGTCAAGGCAGGCAAAGGCAAGACTATAAGTTCCAAAACCTAACGATCTGTTGAAATTCCTACGGGGGGTCAATAGACTGGGTGTTGGATCACAAGTCACATAATCCTCACGGCGAACTACACAATGCTGTAGGGAAGTTGAATTGGGGTGAGGTATCCGTAATGAGGATCGCCTTAAGAGGCGCCATGGGAGAAGAACGTTACCCATGTGCTGCAATGCAACCAGCCCGCTTAGCTTTATTTGAGCTATCTTCGCCGAAGCTTTCCCGGGGAAGATATCCAAGGATATATTACGCATCACGAACCAGGCTCGCGCAAATCAATGGCTCTAATCGTATTTAGCCGTCATAGGATGACCCGAAGAAACTCAGCATCGTCGAGCGGTGGGAAACCGAATGCGATTTAAAGACACCATTGTTAGGCCATTCTCCACACTTGGTGAGGTTCCCCTCATAGCCGCGATAGCTGCAGCCGAACTGGCGAGTCACAACCCCAGTAAATTGCCTCAGTCAACTGTCGATGGGAATTTGTGCCGGGAAACGTCTTCCATAATGGCAGTGAGAGACAAAAGAGACGATATCATTGATTTAAGCGGGGGGATTTCGCTCATAAACAGTAATGTTTTCCTACGAAACCTTCATTCTAATATTCCGATGGTTGTTTGACGAGACGTGGTCCACCGCTGGTTTGCTACAGACGCTTTCGCTTTCCACGATAGTTGCAGTTGGCGCTTCGCAGGAGCCGTCAGCACAGCTCAAGAATGGCACCTATGTGGGACGGTATTCTGCAGAATACAATCAAGACTTCTTCCTTGGCATACCCTACGCGCAGCCTCCAATTGGGGACCTGCGGTTTCAGCAAGCGCAATCTTTGAACAAAACTTGGGAGGGCACCCGCGAAACTTTCACCTACTCGTCGTTATGCGTTGGATACGGTGTATTACTTCCTACTTACCTATAAGTTGGAATCCAAGATGGCTGACAAGAGCGTATTTAGCTCGACCAAACATTCTACAAGCGGTCAGAAGATTGTCTGACACTCAACGTCGTGCGCCCTTTCGGCTACTCTGAAAGCACTCTTCCAGTCGGTTTATGGATTCATGGAGGTGGCTTCACCAATGGCGGTGGCGGTGACCAGCGCTATAACCTCTCGTTTCTTGTAGACCAATCCGTCAAGATCGGGAAGCCATTCATTGGCGTCTCAATCAACTACCGCCTACACGCATGGGGTATGCTATGTCTATGTTAACCGAGAACCCAATCTTAGACCTTTGCCAATGCGCGGCTGTCTGTAGGCTTCTTGAATTCCAACGAACTTGCTGGCGAGGGGCTGACGAACATCGGCTTGAGAGACCAGCGCCTCGCAATGCATTGGGTGCAAGAAAATATCGAGGCATTTGGAGGCGACAATACCAAAGTTACTATCTTTGGAGAATCGGCTGGTGGTGCAAGTGTAGGTCTGCATTTAACCGCGTACGCCGGGAGGAACGACTGCCTCTTTCGAGCGGCGATACTGCAGTCTGGGAATCCCATTTTCTACGCAGCCCAGAACGGTAATAATGCCTACCAGTCCCACTTCGACGAAGTTGTTGCGAAGACAGGGTGCAACGGCACGTCAGACAGTGTACAATGCTTGCGGCAAGTATCCTTCGAACAGCTGAACGCCACTTTGGGTTCCTTGTATTTGGCGCGCGGAAACCTGGGCCCGACCATTGATGGAGATATCGTTCAGAATTATGGCAGCGTACATCTACAGCGCGGTGAGTTTGTACGTGTACCAATCATCACCGGAGCGAACAGTGATGAAGGGGCCTCTCTCGGCCCGGAAGGCATCAACACCACTGAAGACTTTAAGACCACGCTCGCGAGCCTTCCATCATCTTTTCAGGATGAGGTCTTACAGGCGTATCCTGACGATCTCTCCGTGAATGTGGTCGCAAGTCTCGGCCAACAGCGTCCTGGACCACCGTATGGAGCGCAATTTCGCCGTAGCGCTTCTTACTGGGGCGATGTCTACTTTATCGCTGCGCGTCGACAAACAGCCACGACATGGGCTAGTCACGAATTAGACGCCTTTTCTTATCGGTTTAACGCTATTCCGCATGGTGTTCCGCCTGAAGTTGGCGCAGGTCACTTCAAAGAGATTGGATATATGTTTCGCAACTACCTAGGTGCTGGGTACAGGCCGGACATTTTGCCATTTGACGGGATGCCAGAGAGCCACTTTGAACTGGCAAGGTTTATGTCGAGCATTTGGGCGAGTTTCATAAGCGATCTTGATCTGAATGCCTGGTCAGGAAGGCCGGCGATTGTTGATGCTTGGCCGAAATACTCCGTGGAGAGCCCGACGAATCTCGTTTTCGATGCCAATGTCACAAGCCATACAGAGGTAGACGACTTTCGAAAGGAGGGCATTGAATTGATCAAACAGAATGCATTGGAGGTATATCATCGGTAGCTTTAGAAACTAAAAGCAACACCTTGTGGTTGAGGTCTCTGGCCAAATTTGACTACGGCAATGTAAAGAAGACTAGCTCGATTCTTCCGCAGACCTGTTCCTCCGATTACATTCAACGTTTCAGTTTGGAAACACATCGAGTTCTTGA